AATCCCGATTTTTTTTAAAGCCACCCTTCCCAGGACCCCCTCCCTCCCCCCACCCTGCCAACAAAAGCCACCAGGAAGTAAGCGCTCACCTCCGTCTTGCTGCTGTATTTCAGGCCCGCCTGCGAGACCTTCGTTTTGGCCCCCGAAGGTGGGCGATAAATATTCATCCTTCCTTGACTTTTAGGGAGCCTTCATGCACCGATCAATCGCTTTCTCCCTCCTCCCGGGGAGGGCGACGGGAGGGGAGGGGAGGGGGGGGCGAACGATGCGGGACGGGAATCCAACAGAAAAAAGAAAAAGGGGAAAAAAAATCGACTCCCGACGACCGGCGCCGAGTTTGCCCCCAACTTTTTTGGGCTTCCAGACGCAACTTGAGTTTTCTCTCTACACAAGAAAGGGGAGAAACCCAGACGGGGGTTGATCCAAATACATCCGGCGCTGAGACTCCGAAAAGGAGCTTTTCTTTCTTTCTTTCTTTCTTTCTTTCTTTCTTTCTTTCTTTCTTTCTTTCTTTCTTTCTTTTTCTCTTTCTTTCTTTCTTTCTTTTTCTTTCTTTCTTTCTTTTTTTGGGTGGTCTTTTTTTCCCCCCTTCGTCTCTTTCTCTCGCCTGCTTGAAGTGGGTCGCGGGCGGGCAGGCTCGCTCTCTGCCTCTCTCGGGGCCTCGCGCGGCTTCCTGGGTCGCCCTTTGCGCGCACAGGTGACTCGGGGCGGGGCGGGGCGGCGGGAAGCGCTGCTGCTTGCTAGCTCCCCCGCCCGCCCGCCCGCGCGCGCTCGCTCGCGCGGGAATTACCTGGCGGCGCGGCGCCCCGCCCACTTCTCCTGCTGGCAGGTGAGGGGGGCGGGGAGTGTGTGAAATCGATCGGAACAGAGGTGGAAGGGACCTTGGAGGTCTCCAAGTCCAACCCCCTGCTCAAGCCGGAGGGCCTTACAGAATCATAGAATAATAAAGAGTTGGAATGTCGTCTAGTCCAACCCCCTGCTCAAGCAGGAGACCCTCAACCAATCAGAACAGAGCTGGAAGGGACCTTGGAGGTCTTCTCGTCCAACTCCCTGCTCAAGAAGGAGAACCTCAATCAATCGGACCAGAGGTGGAAGGGACCTTGGAGGTCTTCTAGTCCAACTCCCTGCTCAAGGAGAACCTCAATCAATCAGAACAAAGCTAGAAGGGACCTTGGAGGTCTTCTAGTCCAACTCCCTGCTCAAGAAGGAGAACCTCAATCAATCGGACCAGAGGTGGAAGGGACCTTGGAGGTCTTCTAGTCCAACTCCCTGCTCAAGGAGAACCTCAATCAATCAGACCAGAGCTGGAAGGGACCTTGGAGGTCTTCTAGTCCAACTCCCTGCTCAAGAAGGAGAACCTCAATCAATCGGACAGAGGTGGAAGGGACCTTGGAAGTCTTCTAGTCCAACTCCCTGCTCAAGAAGGAGAACCTCAATCAATCGGACCATTTTCTAGTCCAACTCCCTGCTCAAGGAGAATCCCAACCAATCAGAAGAGCTGGAAGGGACCTTGGAGATCTTCTAGTCCATCTCCCTGCTCAAGAACCTCAATCAATCGGACCAGAGCTGGAAGGGACTTTGGAGGTCTTCTAATCCAACTCCCTGCTCAAGGAGAACCTCAATCAATCAGAACAGAGCTGGAAGGGACCTTGGAGGTCTTCTAGTCCAACTCCCTGCTCAAGAACCTCAATCAATCAGGTCAGAGCTGGAAGGGACCTTGGAGATCTTTTAGTCCAACTCCCTGCTCAAAGAGAACCTCAATCAACCGGAACAGAGCTGGAAGGAACCTTGGAGGTCTTCTAGTCCAACTCCCTGCTCAAGGAGAACCTCAATCGGATCAGAGCTGGAAGGGACCTTGGAGATCTTCTAGTCCATCTCCCTGCTCAAGGAGAACCTCAATCAATCAGACCAGAGCTGGAAGGGACCTTGGAGGTTTCCTAGTCCAACTCCCTGCTCAAGCAGGAGACCCTATACCAGGGGTCTTCAAACGTGGCCCTTTTATGACTTTTGGACTTCAACTCCCAGAATTCCTCAGCCAGCGCCTGGCTGAGGAATTCTGGGAGTTGAAGTCTACAAGTCATAAAAGGGCCACGTTTGAAGACCCCTGCCCTATACCATTCCAGAAAAGTGGCTGTCCAGTCTCTTCTTAAAAGCCTCCAGTGATGGAGCCCCCACAACTTCTGAAGGCAAGCCGTTCCACTGATTAATGTTCCTGTTAGGAAGTTTTTCCTTAGTTCTAGGTTGGTTCTCTCCTTGAGTAACAGAAGGCGAGAGCCCCAAGGGATGGAGGGAGGAAGATGACAGGTTGGGGGCTCCTGGCAGAAGGGACTTACTGGGCTGCCCAGGAGAGCTGCTCCGGAGTAGCCACTCCTAGACTGAGTCACAAAGTGAATGCAAGCATTTGGAAAAGCAGGTCATTTTAGAAATAAGCTAATGGGATTGTGTATCATCATTGGGATTGAGATGAATCACACATTTCTAGTAAGGTTACTGATTTATTTGGGGTGGCAATGGTTTACAGCAGTGTTTCTCAACCTTGACCATTTTAAGGCATGTGGACTTCAACTCCCAGAATTCCACAGCCAGCATTGCTGCCTGTGGAATTCTAGGGGTTGAAGTCCACATGCCTTAAAATTGTCAAGGTTGAGAAACACTGGTTTACAGGGAGCAACCATCTAAAGCAGTGTTTCTCAACCTTGACCATTTTAAGGCATGTGGACTTCAACTCCCAGAATTCCACAGCCAGCAATGCTGGCTGTGGAATTCTGGGAGTTGAAGTCCACATGCCTTAAAATGGTCAAGGTTGACAAACACTGATCTAAAGCACAGGCTTGTGTGTGTCCATCCAGAAGTGAACATTCATTCATTGGATTCACACTAACCCTGGACTATTGTATGCCTTGACATATTGTGGGAATCCAGCCAACTGTAGTTTATTTAGTAAACTGGTGAACGAAATCCCTGTTATTATTGGAGTAGGCTAATGCAATGTGCTTCCAAAGGGAAATGAGCAAACAGTTGCAACCTTGAACTTTCATTCAGAAAAGAAACACTTTGGATGAGCAGGAAATGGGTGCTTATTCTGAAACGACTGGCCTCCAGAATTGAAGGTATCCATTCCGCCCTGGGGATTGAGAACTTGAGGAGTGGCAATCCTAGCATTTCTGCAAGGGGCGGCCAACTCTGCGGTGCCTTTTTGAGCAGATTGTCTAGTCGTGTGAAAAGACCAGAGCAATGAAGTAAATAAGCCAGTAATTAAAAATATTCAGATAGGTAATGTTGACAACTCACAAAGTTGCCCAGAAAGCGATCTAACATATATTTAGCATTGTTTCTTTAGAAAAATGAAATTAAAATATTAATTCACATTGCTGAAATTCACTGCAGATTTGGTTTTAAAAGGTACCTCTTCTTTGCTATCATGTGGATTTTAAACGTTTTCCCAACTGTCTCGGACATTCAACAAGCTGATGTGTTACTTTAAAAGTTTTTGTGCCTGAATTAGATTTGGGCCAGATACTCTATCAGGTAATTTATATCATAGACTAGGAGGGGAAATAGGAGTGTGTGCGTGAATGAAGTTCCTGAATGAAAAGCAAGATATACTAAATATATAAAAAATAATTTCAGCATCATAGTTGAGGCATAATTAATGGAAAGTCGGTCACAGCGGTGGATTGGGTTTCCTAGCAATTTTACAGAATCACTGATAGGTGTATTTACTGCAAGCTGCCTAGTGAGTCCATCAGGATGTCTTACGTTATCTTTAGATCATCCCAAGAACACAGGAACATGTTGCTACCTGCAGGGTTTAAAATCCAATGAGAAAAAGATCCAGCCAAGAGAAAAGAAGGAAGTGCTGGTTGATGAGCAGAAGAGCGAGCCAGTCAACCAGACAAAAACAAGAGGCCTAGAAAAGCTTGAAAAAGAGAAACTATAATGAGAAGTTGACCCTCGTGGCTATCAGGGCAAAACTTCCAGACAATGTCCTGAAGTCCTCTGCATCTCAAGCGAGATAAATCCCAACTGCTGCAAATTGGTTTACCTTCTGTGGACCTTAAGATACCCTGATGTGTGTACTATATGGGGTGTACGTAGACAGTGGAATGAGATGGTCCATTAAAGGACAATAGGAGTCCGCTCATCCCTTTGTTTCAAAGTCTGTGCATTCTTTCAGCATTTATTAGAGGTCTTTGTGCTCTGAAAATTCTTTCCAAGAAGTGCTTTGGATCTTGTGTGAAAGCAGCTCCTCTCAGCTGCTCATTAAACCATGCATGCACGCCTTTTCAGACTTCAGGGCAAGGATGCTTTAAGAGTTGCCTCAAGCAAATTATGTTAATGATTCATGAAAACAATGGCGTCTTTTTTTCTCCTGGGTCTTGCACATGATTGAAGGCAAGCATGCTCACCAGAACTGCTCTGGCCTCCTCTAAGATCCAAAATACCTGTTCTGTGCATTTTACTATATTGTTTGAATAAAGATACTGAAGATGGCAGATGTCTGCCGTGTTCTACAATTCTCATTACTAGTTATCCAAGTGCCAGTTTCAAAACCCAGTGTATTATGTTTTTCCAACTTTTCTGATGTCAGATCAATTGCGCCCCAAAGTAAAAGCTAGTTTCTGTTTCCTATTTTATAGCAATAAAGTACAATAAACTTGATTAACATCTGACTTCAATGTCAGATGATATTATAAAGGCTAGCAACTCTCTGACTTTAAAAAAACAAGACAATACAAAACTGTGAAGGTGGTATTCAATAATGATCATGGTTCACAGATGTGGTATTTTTCCTTTGCGTATTTATCTCTACTTTATCTATAAGTAAAGACACGAAGTATAGTAAAAACTTCCTACTACATTATTTTTTTCAATTCTATTATATCGACTCGACTATAGTCTGCAAACAAGTATTTCAGACCATTAGAAATAAGTTTTTCGTTATTTTTAGTTGTCCGAGTTAGAGGTGATTTCACTCGTTCAAATTCACCAGTGGTTACTCTGGAGTGAAGTTGGCTTCCCCTGTGATTTCAAGAAGCGATTTTCCTGTCCCATTAAGGCCACCAACATTTTCAAAATGGGGTAGAGGGAACTAAAGAAGAATTTGACTCTCGGCTTTATTCACAACTAGCTCATCTATGTATGAGATTTTTCTTGTGCAACCTGGTGCAGGTGAGAGAAGCACCAGAAGTGGCCTCAGATCTCAAAAAAAAAACAGTCATAAAATACACAGAACCGACAAAAGCATTGGGAACAAAAAAACAAAAATCCAGATTGCAGAAAGTCCACTCCAGTGTCCAATACTTCCAACATTCCCTTTCTTCTTGTCTGATTCAGGAACCCTTATAGAAACGTACTTTCCCACCAACACAGGCCAATAATTGAAAGGGACTCCTCATCATCCAAAACTCAAAGCGGATTTCACTAGCCTGCTACACTAGCTGTGCACGTATCAGCCTGTTCAGAATCCAAGAGAACATCGGAGCTGCTTCTAGTATATCGGGAACCAACCTGCACATCGCCAAGACAAGGCATCCCTCAGGTGAAAATGGCACAAAAGAACTACAGAGTTTGTTGAAAATATATATATATATATAATTGTGCTGACACTTTCATGGCTGATCCTGTGTCTGTTTTGGAGATGGGGCTGCTGTGACAACTACGGTGGACACGGCTTTTGTAGAGCCAGAGACGGTTCCCTGCTGGAGATGGGAGGCTGGAACTGTTTGAATCCGCACCTGTGGAGAACAGGAGAATGAGATCAGAAATCTCCCCTACACCGCAGAAAATGTCAGTGCTAGTGGGGAAAACGCTGCTCCACCAAATTTCCTACTGAAAGCTCGCCTTACCCATGCCCCTCAAATCCTCAACCTCCGACCGAAGCACTAAGTACGCAAACAAATGAATCGCACGCAAAATAACTTCAACCACCGAGACGATGGTGATATTTCAAAGCCAAGCCGTGAAGAGAGCGAACGGGGCTCCTTACCTGGGCAGCCTGGCCTTGTTGCTGCAGCTGCTGCAACTGCTGGGCAGTCAGGAAGCTCACTGGTTTGTTCCCAGCAATCAGTTTTGTTCCAGCTGGCATCGTGGTAAGGATGATGTTTCGCCCCAAGCCGCTAATGCTGCGGGGGAAAAAAAAAGCCATCCAGAAGTCAGGAGGGGATTGGAAGCAGAAAGGGATCAGCTCTTTTGCACCAGGTTGGGATTTTCGCCTTGGCTATTGCAGCCTCCAGGTTCCCAACAGTTTACAAGAATGTCAGGAAGGATTCAATTTAACACAGTGGTTCTCAACCTTTTTAATGCCGCGACCCCAACCGGTCATAAGTCGAGGACTAAACCGGTCGTAAGTCGAGGACTACCCAACCGGTCGTAAGTCGAGGACTTTCCCTGCCCGGGAGCACCGCGCATGCGTGGTTCCGCCCCCTGTGCCGGCCGAGGCGTAGCTGGCAAGCGGCAGAGACGGAGCAGGCTGACCACCAGCTGGCCCAGCCCAAGGGAGGTAAGGCACCCGCCGGAAAAGGGGAAAAAAATGGCGGACAGCCCTGCTTGGCGACCCCCGTGAAATGGTCGATCGACCCCAAATGGGGTCCCGACCCATAGGTTGAGAACCACTGATTTAACAGGAACGTCTCCCAAATTTTACCTAGCGGAAGCTGTTGTTTTACCAAACTAGTAGCATCTCTAGCAGGGAAGGAGCTGGTGTTCCTGTGCCTTAGGAAGAAACATCACTTTCACCCTAGTAATGCCTCTACTTTTAACTTTGTGTTTCCAGGATCTCAGCTGAATTCTGCACATTTCACTATGAGAGTCCATTTGGTTGGGGGGGGGAGGGGGGAGGTTAAGCCACCAGGTTAAAAACCAGGAAACTTAGATATGACAGCCGGCTGGGTGGCGTCTGGCCAACCGTTCTTAGCCCACCGCACAGGCCACAGCCAGTGAGTCAATTCCTGTCACAACCAATGGATCAATATTCAGTTGATCAAAAAAAGTGGACCTTGAATCTGTGGGGAAAATGCTAGAAAAAAGAATAAATCTGCACATTTCACTACAAAGAGGACTGCTTTATAGGGAAAGGCAGTCACCATGTGGCTAAAGGGATAGCCAGGAAATCCCCTTTGTACTTTAAAGAACTTGTGAAAAAATAATAAGTACAGTAATTTTTTCACTCTGAAATTTTTATGTTGTGTGGAGCTGACGATTACATTCCAATAACCACAGGAGCAGGAGAGAAGTTGACAAATTTAAAAGGGAAAAAAATGGGGACAGCCAAATAAAGTAAGACGTTATGCAACATTCACTATTATTCTGATTTATTTATTTTTTAAAAAAGCACCAAACTGAACGCTACTTAACCCATTCTGCAGGCAGAGATTTTTTTCCAGCGGCTAAAATTTTTTAGCACGTTTCAGAACGTTCAATCCTGTTGGATTTCCAGTGGCCTAATTACAGCCCTAAGAAATTTGTTACTGAAGATTCCCAATTCCTCCTGCATTACTCACTTGGCCCCAAGGTTGCCTTTGAGGAGAGGCGCAGTCACGACGTTCTTGCCTTTCATGGGCTGGCTGATGACCGAGAGGGGCACGGTGATTCGGGCAGGCAGTTTCCCCTAGGCGAATAAATCATAGGCAGAAATGATTTGTACCATTTCATCTGCCCTAGACACATTCAAAGGAAAGTGATATCCTCTCCCCCTGAAAGCCCCCTCCCCAAACTGTCTGCAAAAAAAACCCAACCCCATCAAACCATCGCAATAGGTATAACCCTTCCAGGCAGTACTTCTAAACAGTTCCCAATGGCGGAAGACACCAGAACAACGATGAAGCGTATTATCTCCAATGCTGAGACTTTCACCTCTCAGAGAGTCTCTGGAAAAATCAACCTTACTTACTGGCTGGGAGGCGGATACCACTGTGGTGCTCACGGGGATCTGCCGCACAGCGGAGGTCCCTGCTCCTATAGATATGGGTGTTCCTGCTGCTGACACCACAGCAACTGCCTTGGAGACCGAAGCCGTCATGGTGGGCAGAGAAACAGCCGAGGTGTGCACAGTTCCAGGTATGCTGACTGAAGAAGGCATCTGCTTGGCATGAGTGGCCACTGTAATTGTCTGGCCAGGCTTGGGAGGCATCACCCCCATGCCCTGCACAATCCTTATGGTGGCCGCTGGTTTGGCTTCCGACGATGCCATCGTGGTCAAGGCTTTGCCCTTCTGGTCTGCCATCCTGTACGGATCTCGTCCGTAGTCAGCCTTCCGCCTCGGCCGTCTGAGGTGACAGAAGTTCAGACCACAGTGAAACTGGTGCCAACCAGGTCGCCCTGGCCGACTTCGCCTCCACCCCCACGACTAGAACCGCCCTCTCAGGCTCCTAACCTACCCCGAACTGCAGTGTGCGTTTCACCGCGTCTACGGGAAGGGACGTGGGCTGCTTCCAGCAGCAGCAGCCGTGCTGAAGAGGTCTTGAGTCAGCTTGACAGTAGTGACTTGAGATTTGGCCAAGGTGGCCATCATGTCCGGTGTGATGCGGAGAACTGTCTGCCCCTTGGCATCTGTGGTGATGGAGGATGGAGGCAGACGCAGAACATCCTTGCCTTGAATACGGAAGTTGGATGTTGTAAGTGGGAGGCTGCTCCCCGTCTGGCTTTTCATGCCTAGCTGTCCAGTAATAGACACCTGCAAAGCAAAAGAGGTATCGATCGGGACTTCTGTTTAAGAAACATCGGTCATGTATGTGTAGCCATACCAATAGCAATTAGAATTATATACCGCTTCACACTGCTTTAGAGCCCTCTCTAAGCGGTTTACAGAGTCAGCCTATTGCCCCTCAACAATCTGGGTCCTCCTTTTACCAACCGCGGAAGGATGGAAGGTTGAGTCAACCTTGAGCCGGTCAGAATCAAACTAACGAACTGCAGGCAGTCAGCAGTTAGAAGTAGCCTGCAGTACTGCATTCTAACCACTGCCCCACCACGGCTGTATGCTGGTCATATTGCATGTAGCCATACCAACTAAACAGGGCTGGTAGGCCAAACTGGTCATTAAGAGCTGATTTGGAAAGTGTCTTTCAGTGATTAAAACCTTTGCTCAGAGGTTTTTTAAAAAACAGGCAAATTAATGGGTAACAGGCCCATCTCTACTGTACAAGGCTGGGTAGTCTCTTGATATCTATTTCCTGGTTTATTAAGCAGCTGCCAGAGGTCTGAATTTTCTCTTCCATCCTACCATCTCCTTCCTTTTGAGCTTTGTCTATGAGAAGGACATGGAGTTATGTGTCTTATTTGCTCAGTATTTGAATAAATTTAAGAACTTAATAAATCAAGCATGGCTGTGAATTTCCCAGGGGCACATGGTTAGCAATAAAATACCTACAGTAATTTCTTTGCAGAGTGCAGCTGCTCACCTGTTTAATGATATTTTGGCCAGCAATGTTCTGGAGGACAGTGGTGGATGAAGAGGAAGATGATAAAGAGGAGGAGGAGGAGAATGGAGTAGTGGAAGGGTTGGACGCTGCAGTGTTTGAAGAACTAGTTGCTGGCTTGGGGGTGGGAATAGGTGTTGCAGGAATTCCTGTCCCAGTGACACTGGCTGCTCCAGTTACAGCAACAGTTGTCCTCTGCACTTGGACTGGGCTGGTCTGAGCTTTGACTGGAACAGTCATGACGGCCTAAAGGAAGAAGTCATTAACGTAACAATTGCATAGCATCTAAATGTTGTTCCTTTCGGTTTTAGATTGCTCCACGTGACCAAAAATTTCAAAGTAGCCATCATTCTTATCTAAAATATGGGCATTCTTGTCAGGACCCCTTTCTAGTCCAATGTGCACTTGAAACAATTCCTCTGATTCGTGACTTACTTGAAAAATCAAGTAGCACATCTAAGAGCTAACTGGAGTCCGTGACTCACTTCCATCATTTTTCCCCCCCAATTCAGCTAGTGTAACTGAATTCAGACAGATACACCCACACCTATACTCGGTATTCTTTTTTTAGCACCGCTGATGATGCACTATTGAAAATACAAAATGTTCACATTCTATAAAGGGAGTTATTCCTCATAGTTGTTCCTCTGTTATGGGGAATCCACTTGCTGGAAACAACATTTAAATTGTTCAGAGGATGAAGCTCTCCCCCATGGATGATCCTGACCAGTGTTTCTGAAGCTTAGCAACTTTAAGACGGGTGGACTTTGATTCCTAGAATTCCCCAGCCAGTCTCACTGGCTGGCTGAGGAATTCTAAGAATTAAAGTGTACACATCTTAAAATTGCCAGGGTTAAGAATCAGTCTAGACATTCAAAGAACCATGAGATTTAAGAATGAGTCCCATTTCTCTACCAGAGGGAATGGAAAGAGAAGTCTATCCGTGAAAAACATAGGTTAAAAAGGCTAAAATGAGATGGGATTCTTTCCAACAGGAGTTAAGAACCCTCCTGTCTCCAGAGAACTTGCTAGTCCCAAGCAAAAGTATTTTGCTTTACTAATCAAGAACCACCAATGATTTCATGAAAACGGAAGTCGCTATGGTGTCATTTAGGGGCTTAAGTTTTTACACAGGAAGCGCCTATATTTGTTCCTCTTTTCTGCCGGCACTAGTAAAGGGGTAATATATTTAGATACCTTACTTTTGATGCATTGAATTATGCAGTGTACAACTGCTACTCAAAGATGTAAAATTACAGAGGTGAATCTATGTTCAGTAGTGATGGAGAGATCACCTGGGAAGAAGATTACTAACACCTGTGCTCATTCACATGTGTTACTCACCTGAGAGAATACTTTGCTTTGCACAGAAGTGGAAGGAACCCGGATCTGAGGTATGGATGCTAGAGAGAGCTGCTGTTGTGCTACCACCTGGGCTGGCTGAGACAGAGGGGGAAGGCTAGACTGAGCTGTAACTACTCGGACTTGAGGAAGACCTGAGGAAGTAGTGTGGCTAGCTGTCCGTGGGGTAGACAACGGAGTTCCCGGCTGTGCCTGAGTGCTCTGTGGGGTCGAGAGCAACGTACCAAGCTGGGGCATGGTAGGAGAAGATACCAAAAGGATGCTATGCAACAATGAAACAAACAAACAAACAAAAAATCCTGATGAGTATATATTAAAAAAAAGACAACCTTTCTTCTAGAACACAGAGTTTCAACTGGATCAAGTGCTTAAAAGAGAGTGGCACAATACAGGTCATTACCTTCTCAAAAAAAAAAAAAAAAAAAAACAATAGTTCAAAGAACAGTTTATAACCTGAAAGACTACTCAAAAGACATTTCCCCAGATTGCTCGGAAAGCCTGCCAATATTTCTGCATTCTTTAAACAAACCAAACCACTCAACAACGGTTTCCAAATACTTCCTATTCTTACGCCACCTGCTATGTTCTGGAGAAATCACTTGTGGAAGAGTGTAACCAAGAAATCTGGCACCGTTGGTTATATTCCCCCCCCCTTTTTTTTTTTACAGGCTGAAACCATTTAGCATAATCCCTGCCCCTGCCTTATCTTTCTTTTACCTGGAGATATTTCCAATCCGCTCCCAAACTTTTTATTAAGGTGAACAAGAGAAATTACCTCTGGTTGGATTTTGCTGGCTCTGTTGCAACACAAGACAAAGTCTTGCTAACCACAGAGACAGGAGGGGGCGAAATGGGCATTGTTGGCAAAGGGAGCGAGGCAGGCGTCGGAGTGATGGGGGTTGGCGGCATGCTGGAGTCACTAACGCTCAGCTGGCTGGGCTCTGAAGTGCTGGTGGTCCCCACTTTCGCTGAATTCTCCTTGGTGCTTGATTTCTACAATGTCAACAAAGGAGCTTACTTCCATGGAACACACACACACACACACACACACACACACACACACACTGCATTTACCTCTGACAATCTGGGCAAGTTCAGAGAGGGGAAAAAACCAACCCAGACCTTCCAAAAATGATCTGCATTTCAAGGATACCGCAAACACTTTGTCTTCAAAATGCCTGCCGTGCAGCCCCGGACAATTTCAGATGGAATTGAGAAGACCAAGAAAGCTGCTGCTGATCATTATAGGCAGAGCTCCACTAGATGGATCGTTGAGCAGACTCAGTCTTTATGAGCTGCCTATGTCCAGGTTTAAGAGGAAGAACAAAAAACAAGCAGCAGCTCTCTATGCAGTGGAAAGGCAACAATTCCTGAAAGCAACCGCAACTTTCTATCCTTAGCCTACTGTTTATCATATACAGAATGTTTTTTGATAACTGTCTTGCAGATAATATTCAACTGCAACTTACCACATTATTCATGAGAGAATAAGATATAATAATCCTGTTTATGTCCCCACCCATTCATACAAATCTGCAGCTTCCGTTTTTATTGCCCACCCCTTGTCCTAAGTAGCTCGGGAGTAACTCAGAAAGTCTTGCGTTTACTTTTACTTAAATGCAACTCCTTGGACCAGAAACTGAGGTTGATACTAACTATGATGGGAATGTTCTTCTATGACTTTATCTATGTTTCCAATCAAAGTCCGTAAGGGAACACAGACTCGCTGGAATTCTCTTCTCCTGCAGACTCATTTTCCCGAAATTAGAATTGGTCCAACACAGGTGTCCCCAACCCCGGGTCCAAACAAAGAAAGCCCCATCTGTGAGATGCAGACAGCACACAAAACCACGCACCCTCCGGTCCACGGAAAACCCTCTCTCCACAGAATCGGTCCCCGGTCCAACACATTTTAAGAATAGAAACTATTTGTTTCTCGCCAGAATCAGAACAGGATATGGCCAAAGAAACTTCAATCTCTACCCAAGATAGGGCAGTAAATAATTCTTCTGAAATTCTTTGCGCCAAAAACCACACCAGGCAACTTACTGTCTTTGCAGGAGGCTTCGGCTTTTGCTGAAGCGCTTTCTTGGCCTTTGCTGCAGCTGCCTGGGCCTGATGAATCCGCTCTGGAAGGGAGGAGCAGGAGCAGTTCTCAAACAGATGCTGAGAGGGAGAGACATGCACACCTAGGCAGCCCTTTCCTTAAAAAATACATGTATGATTCCAAGAATTTTCTTCTGCTGGGTGACATAATTTGTCAGCCTAGAACAGGTGAGTCATACATGGAAATTACTAGTGTTCTAAAGACACATTTGTGATATCCTCTGAAATCCTGTTCCTATAGGCAGCTTTAGTGTCTTTCACTTTAAATTATGAACATGAGAAAGCAATGGCTATTCAGAGAGAACAAGAGGAATATTGTGGGTATCCTCTCAGTAATGGCAAAATTTATAGTAAAGACGGCAAAACATGTTAGGAAGGAAGGACGGGATGGAGGGAGGAAGGAAGGAAGGAAGGATCCAGTTTTCATACACTGTTTATATATGGGATACCCCATAACATGAATTGAGTGTATACTGACATCCAAATAGTCCATCTGAGGAATGAGAGACTTTCTATGGTAAAGAGCAACAGCTAGCTCCCCCACCCTTATTTCTGTAACGCAATGAGTGTTACATAAGAGGACGGTACAGGCCTGACTTCATGTTTGCAACAAACTGACATTACAATAAACTAAACACTGTTAGGTCCCTCCAGCCAATACCTACCAAACTCCTCTTCACTCCTGTCTCGGTGGAGATATATCCATAGTTTGCGACCAATATCGTATTTTACACAGGGGTCTTTCTCATAGTGCAATCGATCTAAAGCACCACTCACCACAGTGTTAACCTAAGAAAAGGATTCACCATGAAATCAGGGGTGCAAAGGACTTGGTGAACTTAGAAGCCAGCTATAAGAGACTATAGGGAAAGAATGTTTTTGAGGCATGACAAATATGCACCCCAAGTAGGAACTGGATGCCCAAACCATTCCAAGCTGAGAGGCAAGATGGATGAAAAACACACATAAAAGCTCTTTGGATATTCAGATCTACAGAAAGGTCTGTAGATCTAAAGTTAAGGTCTACATCTTTTATTGCAGCTTTAATTCTAAGATAACCCAGTTGCAGGAGCAGATCCTATCTCTGCACATTATCAGTTTGCAGAGAAATAATCAAAAATTTATAAAAACATATTTTGCAACGCTAATCTGCAACTCTCTTCAAATTCTACTAAACTACAGTCTTAAAAAATGATCGCAATGTGTTGCTACTTTCAGTTGAAATAAACACAGATATTTATGGGGATTCTGAGACACCAGTAATGTGGCTTAAACATTATCCTGCTTACCTGAGCACTGGTGACATCAGGAGCAAGAAACTGGGAGTCCTTCAGAAGCTCGCAAATTTCAGCACGAGTCCCCTCTCCATTTGGAAGACGGGCTGCAGCATCTCGAACTGAGATGACAGCAAAAAAAGATCAATCAGGATCCTGATAAGAATCCTCTGGAACTTTGTGAAAGCTACGAGACTATTCTGCATTGTCAAACGATACATTCACCTTGCTATCTCCTCTGTGTGTGTCGTGGCTTTGTAGCCCAGCTCTTTTATTTGCCCATTTCAAAAATTAAACTTGGAATCATAATGAAGTGAGGATCTTTTTATCCCACCTTTCAATAAATAATTTTCAAGATGGCTTTACAACATAGTTTAAAACTAAAAACAAATTAAATTCTATCCTGCTACGCTATCGCTCATGTCCTACTGCAAAATTCAATGGAGACATGGAATATCTCTCTCTCTCTCTCTCTCTCTCTCTCTCTCTCTCTCTCTCTCTCTCTCTCACACACACACACACACACACACACACACACACACACACACACACACACACACACACACACAATAACTTACCAAGAGACAATATGGTGACATATGCAGGTCGATCTGATCGCAACAAAGAATGTTCCCGGGGTTTGTTTAGAGATGTTTCCTTATCAAACACTCCTTTCACAGGGCCCACCACGGATTCAAAGCCATGCATACAGAAAGTGAAAGCTTTATGAGGTTGGCTGTATCGATAACGCTCCTGCAGACATAAAAGGATGAAGGACAACCGAATAAGAGATTCACAGGAGAAGACAGCAGAGCAATATAGGTTAATATGTACAGTTAATGGTAAATATTGATCATATTTAAATACAAATGGAGGCACATGGAGGGAGAAGTCTCTCCCTGCCACAAAAGCTACACTCTCAGATGGATTTGCAGAACTTCCAGGTGTAATGTTTGCTTGATAAATGTAATGAACAACAGATAAAGAGTGAGGGGGGAGGGGGAGAAATCAAGTACCATATGAAAGAGAAGAAAGTACTGGCAGTATGACATTTTGCTTCTGAACCAAAAAAAAATTATATCATCTATTTTATCTGAAGCGCTAACATGAAAATACCCCATTTGTTTTCACTGAAAATTCTAAGACTCGGCTGACAACGATCCGCAGGATTTAAACATGTGCATTTAGCATTTCCCAGCAGTATGTGCAATGGAGATGATGAACAATAAACATTCAAAATGTTGATCCCATTAACCAGAAGAAAATTGAACTGAGGCAGAGCAATGGCCCAGGGGTTCTTAAACTGGGGGGTAATTTGAGCATATTCCGGAGGTAACGGAGCAATTTATAATTGCTGGTTTGTGACTCAAAGACCTGTTTTGGACTGTTGCCATCAAGATGCTTGTGCAAAGCAACAGAGACCAGTTTTATTGTAGGGGTAACGACGTTGTTGGAGACTGGGAAAAGGGGTGGAAAGCACTTAAGAACCATTGCAACTGTATCTGAGGCTGAATCTTTGCTATCCTTACCTGTTCCTGGAAAACACGTTTCTCTTCTCCAGTGCTAGGCCGGACTATATAGTCTGTCCTTCTGAAACAGACAATAGTGTGAGACTCAACGAGTCATAATGACTACAGGTAGTCTAGAATGACAGTTATAAGTCATGCAGGTTGTTAAGCGGGTCACCATCATGCCCAATTTCACAACCTTTATTGTGGCAGTCGTTAAGTGAATCATTGTGGTTATTAAGTAAACAAATCCATTGTCCTCAATGGATGTTTTTTTTTTGCAGGAAACGGGAAATAAACGCAAAAAAAAAATTGTAAACCACAGTCACATGACTGCAATAGGCCATAAATGTGGGACAATTGCTGAGTGCCCAAAATGCAATTACATGGCTATTAGGAGGTTGGGGGGAGGCCCTGGAACTTTGCATTTGGGTCATAACTAGATCTTAACTTCAAATGGTCACTAAGCAACTGGTTGTTATGTTGAGAACGACCTGTACAGAGAAACTGTAACAATGACAACGAAGGAAAATATTTCTTTAATCTTTTCTTGGCAGCTGTGCTGGCTACCTGGTTAAAACTAATACAAATCAAAAAAGTTGATAAAAGTCAGAGAAAATAATTGGAAACATATGCGAACCAATTTTAGGAAAGCTAGAGACCAATTTTTGAGCATTATGAACACAGGAATGCCTATCACATTTTTAAGCACCTCTGATAAGAGGGACACGTGACTGATTAATAAATGCAAAGGATATAATTCTAAATTATTCTTAGTGTGATGGACATCTGCGTTCCATGTATGCTAGGATTGTGAATGAACCTAATTTTAGAAAATCATTACTCATCAAACGGAAAAGATAATCACTAATAATATTGTTCTAGCTCAGTGATGGGGAACCTTTTAGAGACCGAGTGCCCAAAAACTGGCCCCTCCCCCGCTCCACCCCCTGCCCTATCCCCGCTCCGCCCATCCCCCGCCCTGCCTGCCCACAGGGCCACTCACCGCCTCCAGGGCCCACCGCAGATCGCCCAGGCAGCCCAGCAGTGCTATGGCCATCACGCCCTCTGCCCACGCCCTGCAGCATCAGCTGTGCACAATGGGGCGTGAGGGCAGAGTCTTGTCTATGCTGCCTGGCTGCCATGTCCTTGGCTGCGCTGCTCCGCGTGGGCCATGCTCAGGGGCGACTCTCCTTCAGGGGGGCTGCTGGAGAGGAGGGGGTCGCAGGGGGAGGCGAGGCTGGGGCAACGGCACGTGTGCCCACAGAGAGGGCTCCAAGTGCCACCTCTGGCACCCCTGCCATAGGTTTGCCACCACTGTTCTAGCTCTTTGAATTGTTTAAAATTTATCTTTACTTTTGCACGCAAAATGTAGCTAAGAATTACTCATTAGTAGCAGGACAAGCATGAACCTTCCTGGACTGCATTTAGTGCTGACTCCTAAGACTGATTTTAAGGTTTAGGCAAAGTTCAATATTTTTTTTTAAAAAAAAGGCTTCTGAAATCCATAAATACTCACACTCGGGGGACTGGTGTGGTAGCATCTGAACTATCTTCGTTGTCCTGACAAAGAGAAAGAAATATTATGAAACACGGTGGATTAGCCAGTGGGACCTGTACCAGTTGAAATAAATATTGGTTTCACCTTGAAGAAAGCTTGGTCTTTCGTCTCCAGCCAAAGTTGGAAGAGAGCTGCTAGCTCCTTCTCATGGTCTTGGGAAGAACCTAGAGAAAAAAAAACAAGCCACACAGATTATCATCTACCACTAATAGTAACACCACAACAGCCACACTGTAGATACTGGGATACCCACCCTCCATCGCTTGATCCTTCTGCTATAAAGATTGCAAAAGTGTGGAAATAATATTAGCATTTATTTACACCACAACAGAAATTAGGAAAGATAAGAAAGTAAATGTATACAGATCTATCTAGGTGACAAGATTTAATAAGAATGGTGGAGAAGGCAGCTTAGCTACTTTACCTATCAGTTTCCAATGTTGAGTTTTTTCCTTGAATTCAACGAAAGGAGAAAAGCTGGAAGAAGCATCTGTAACAAAAACATTTTACTAGGTTTTGGCACGACTCTAATGTATTTTTATATCATTCAGACTGTAGCACTGGATTAAAGTTCAATCTACAGAAAAAGCCAAGTTCGATCAATGCTCATTAGTGTTCTTCGATAAACTGTCACGCATGCTCTATCCAAAAACTTTGTAACTAAATCTATGGACTTCTATCCTAGTATGAACTGTAGCTAGAAGCATCACTATACTTGGAAAATCTGTATTTTCCACTGCAAAGCAATCCACAAGAAAAATTCTATTTAAAATCTGGCATGAAAATGGTAGTGCAACACAAAATTGCAAACATGTAGCACAACTCTTACAGGCATAAGAATTTTTTTTTTATTTGTGAAAGATTTCCTTTAATAGCTAAAACCACACAGATTTGACAACATGAAACACCCAGATAAAAAATATTGTTCACTATTTTTTATCACGTGGAATAAAGTTCTTGAAGACATTTCTTCAGGATCAAAAGGTTGTTTTAACTGAATGAATCTGAGAGAAAGACAAGTATGATATCAACAAGGTATTCATTCTGAAAACTGCTACCCTTTGACATTAAGTGGCTTGTATAAAAAAAAATCCAATAACAAGGACAGATTGGATCTAAGCAAATTCCAACCAAAGTGTATAAGCAACACTTCTTTAGCTTAAAACACTTGTTTAGCTAGCTTAAATTTTTGGTGAGTACCAAGTAACTGCTAATTGTCAGCTTTAATGGAATCACTTGTTTTGGATGGTAACCAAAAAAAGTGTCTCACCTCTGCTGACTCCAGTGAGATATTGCAAGGCAGGTAAAACCAGTTCTGACCAGTTGGGGGCAAAGGAGAACCAGCTGTTTAATGTGCTGGCAGGAGAAGACTGCCAGTCCATCACTTTATCTTCAAGCTGAAGGAAACAAGATGACAGGTAAAATTTATACTAATTACACAAACTGTGAATGGCCTGACATTCAATGTGAAGCTCAGAGTCATACATGGCTAACTCAACTGCCAAACAAATAAAATTAGAGAGACCCTGACCTCCACATAGGGATATTTATTATTTATTAATTCAATTTTTGGCAATGCCTGACTCCACTTGGGCAAGTGGAAATCACAGTGCTGAAAACTGTTCATGGGCGAGGAAAAGAGGAAAGTCAACCAACACAAAATGAGTCCCCTGAATTTGGAAGGCTGGTCTTATAGAATTCTAGCCTGAAAAATTCCAATTCTAGAAAGGCATCCTAAGATGCAAAAAAAAGCTCTTACCATTGAGAGACTAGCAGGACCCTCTAACAACAAGATCTCGAGAAGCAGAGAAAAGAAGCTGGAAGAGATTTCATTCACTCCAAGACATGGCTTGATGTCTTCAAGAGGCCTTGGAAAGAAGGTAGGTTAATTTTAACTTAATTAAAGTACTCAGGTATTATGACAATCACACTTGATATATCATTCTGTCGTCAAAGCATTTTCACATACATTATTCCAGATACCCTAATATGAGATATATCAATAATGTAATCTGGGAGAACTGTTAAGAGGTTATCTAATAAATTTGTGACTGACCCATTTATGCATCTGAATAGCCTTCTCTTACTTAACCCTTCTCCCCAGCCTACTTAGGTGTTTTTTCAGTTATAATCTGTAGCTTTAAAACAAGAGAAATGTGTGTTATGCTTCCTCATCTGAATATATAGATGTATTTGCAAATAACTGTCTCCTCTGTTGTTGGACTTGTATGTTGTAAACTGACTTAATCTGTCTCTGTGCCTTACCGTTAAACATATTTATTTGACAGGTTTGCAGCTTACAACAGATTAATTGATGCATGGGATATTCAGTATGAAACTTTGCTACTGAGAGCAAAATGTTTTCATGTTAATTAATCTCAATGTGGCTAGAACTAGCTTCCTTACAACTATAATTTATCTTACATTTTGGGGAGTTACATATACTTACTCTTCTTTAACAGATGAGAGGGATGGGGGATCCCACAGGGGAGGAATGGGGGAGGGATTTTGAGAAACAGGATGGATCCCTTCTGAGTTGCCAAGAGATTCAGAGAAATCTTCAGCCTCAGATTTAATCACTTTTAGCTTCTTTTTCTTTTTCTCCTCCTTTTCCTTCACCTTCTTTTTGAGGACAGCGAGGTCAAACAAGGCTTTTTTAACAAGAGAGAAAAAAGATTTACTTAGTTACAAAACAGTTTTTAAAAACAATCTATAATTTAGAAACATGAGTATTACTACTATGCACCAAGAATTAAAAAACCCCTTTACATTAATCATATAACTATTTGAATGTTTATACAGGAAGCAGATTCTTAGTTCAGTGGCACTTATCCCAAAATAAATAGGCAAATAGTTGCAGTTGTAATTGTATATAACAGGTGTGATTGTACACATTTATTTGGTTACAGACATACTGAGATTCTGCTTTTTTGCTTGAAGATATATAGCCTTTAATTTTCATGGATCATTTTGGAACAATGTAAAGTTTCACTTGAATCACTGATAAGGCACAAGTTTGCTACATCTGATTCACTGACCTGCCAAAGATCCCTTCCTGCCAGCATTCACACGTGTCATGATGTCATTCAGAGTCAGGTCGCCTGTCATCAAATCAGGGTGATTCTATGCAGAAGAGGAGAGCAAACAAAAATCAGGTTTAACTCAAAAAGAAACCAGCAAAAAGAAACACCCTAGTAGCTTTCGATGGGATGAGACAAATGCCCAACTCTTGTAAGAGCCATACAAAGACCTGGGATCTCCGTTCAGTACTCTACAGAAAAAAGCACAGCCCCTCGAAGTTTTGGTCCTCAAACCAAATTTAGGTTGCAGCCCTCTATATATTTCTGTGGAAATAAACTCATTCAACACAGTTAAGATGTTTGAGTGCATATTAGCATGAGAGAAAGGAAGTCAGGCCTGTTAGAGCCTCCTTTGCTACTTTAAATGGCGCTAATCACTAAATATTAAAGAGCTACCGCCTCACTGCAATTTAACTTACTGGCTGCCGCTTGCGCTTTTCATGGTGTGTCTTCAGCATCATCTTCAAGCTATTCTCACCGAAATCCAGTTTATCTGGTGGCAAACAAGCCCAATATTATTAAAATGATGATGTGAATATATTTACATAAAATTATATCACAATGAATAATATAATTTATATATTCTATTCTATTTCTAATTGTATTCATATTCTATTCTATTTTGTAATTCTACTCTATTCTATTCCATATTTTCTACTCTATTCTATTTCTATTTCTACAGGTAGTTCTCGACTTACAACCACAATTGAGCCCAAAGTTTCTGTTGTTAAGTGAGACCTTTGTAACATGAGTTTTGCCCCGTTTTACAATCTTTTTTTGCCACAGTTGTTAAGTGAATCACTGCAGTTGTTAATTTAGTAACATGGTTGTGAAGTGACTCTGGCTTCCCCATTGACTTTGCTGGGCAGGTGGTCACAAAAAGTGATCACATGACCCCGGGACACTGCGACCGTCATAAATATGAACCCGTTGTCAAGCATCTGAATTTCTATCACGTGACCAGGGGGATCCTGCAAAGATTATAACTGTGAAAAGCAGTTATAAGTCATTTTTTTCAGTGCCATTGTAACTTTGAACGGTCACTAAATGAACTATTGTTAAGTGGAGGACTACCTGTATTCTATTCAATGTGTAACAATTATTTACATTATTCTTTTAGACCTCTACCTTTTTCAACCATTCTTCTTCAAAATGACTCATAATTATTGCCTACATATTTGTATTAAAATTGTCCGCTGTCTCTCACAGGTAAGAAAAGATGCTTTTACAAACCAGCTTTAAAAAAAAATCTAGAAAAACTAGTTTTCCCAATAAAAATAAATATCTTGCAAAATTTTATTGTAAAGAAATTTTTCAAGATGATTTAAAATACAACACCTGCTGTTTTCATGTCTTGGGTTGATAATGTGGGTATCACTCTGAGAGGAACAGCAGGACTTGAACAATGGGCTGGAGAGGCTGGAATCCAGGAACTCAAATCTGAAATACAGAACAGTCATGTTTTTAGAGGGATGCTGGGTGCACAACTGTTTTCCTAACAGCTATCTAAGTAACTTGACAATTTCACTTCTTTAATCAGAAAAGTTAGAACCATATAAATACCTTTAAAAGACCAGAAGGAAACAAGGACTGTTAAGTTAAATCTATCTCTAACTCTAATTCTAAAGAAACAATGTTATTTTAGGATGTTGATGGCAACAATAGAAAGAGTAACATTCTTCAAAATAAATAATGGTCTGTAATCATAACTTTGGTTGAAAGACACGTTAAGAGAAATAGCCTAGATAATATCTGGGCGTATTTCCTAAGCAGAACAGGAAATTTAAGTGGACAGCCCTGCGGAGTATAACATGTTTAGAACCTTGATCAAAAAGCACTTTCTGTTTTAAACACACGAAAACATTATATTACACTTCAGCAAACACACGTAAATTAAATATCTTATCCCCGAATACATCAAACGTTGCTGACTACTCAGCTTTAAAATCTTGTTTAACATGGTACAGAATAATTCTTATCTCAACCTAGTATGTTGCAAATATGCTATCACTTCAGTTTCCTATTGCAAAGTATACTGGCTCAAATTGTGGGCTCTGAAGTCCAAATACTCTGATTAATTATATAATAGCATATTATAAATTTCTACTTCCATGTTCTTTTATCAGTCTATATTTTTAGAGGATACTATGTTAACAAGGAGTTCCTAGAACAGTGTTTCTCACCCATGGCAGCTTTAAGATGGATGGATTTTAACTCCCAGAATTCCCAAGCTAGCCGTGGTGGCTGAGGAATTCTGGGGGTTGAAGTCCCCCCATCTTAAAGTTGCCATAGTTGAAAAATATTGTCTTAAATTATTCTCTACCTAGAGGTTTCAATTAATCCACCAAATCCACACTAGTACCTTCTTCATCTGAGGATAGGGTGGTGTCCCCACATTCTTCTTTAACTTCCCTGAGGATTTTAAGGTATCGCCGATGTGTTCGCCTATCTCGTTCTTCAGCAGCGTAAGCAGCTGCCGAGTATTTTCTCTTCACGGCCAGATCCGATCCCCCCTTCCTAGCGAGTTCTAACAGATGCTGAAACAGACACCGGGAAAAAGGCAACTTCAGATGCTACAGCTCTATGAAATCTGCAGATCTAGTTTTACTGTTCATGAGATCTAGAGTTCTACAAAGGCAACAGGTGATCAAGACTAACTACAGAGACAATTTAATATCTACACAATGCCCCACCATTGTGTCTTCCAATACTTACATTCCGGGAGGCGAGAATCTGTTTCAGCAATCGATAAAAATACTGCTGCTGGGAACTGAGGTAGCGCTTATACTGGGACTTGAAGCAAAGCTGTCTGTACTTCACCACTTCGGGATTGAAATGTCCATCTGTAAGAAGAACGTTCATGTTGTTCCTTTATTTTGCTTAATCCTAGCAACCGGCGGAGAAAGGATTAGGTTACTAAGAACACTGGCAATTGTTAAGGATCCCAAGCATACTTCGAAATTTCTGTATTTATGTAAATAAGGATAAAAGTGACTCGAGGTTTCTCCAAATCAGATCTCCTGTCCTATAAAAGAACCAGATTCAACAGCCCAGATGTTATTGGAAAGGGCTGGTCTATTTGGGAGATGGTCTTGTTTTGTTGAATTTTAAAGAGATAGGAATGCTCCCATTCCCATCATAAAAATCACACCAAGTTCCCAGGAATGTGTCAAGCATTCTGCTGCTGAAATTTGGACATTTATTATTATGTCTGCAATATGACTTTAAGAGATACACACTGACTGTTCACTGTCAGTGGAAGAGTCAACATATGGGACTGGGTAGCTCCAAGTTTAAGTCCACAACTTTTTCAGCCAACCTGCAGTCAGGGTGTACGATAAAAAAAAAATCCAAATAGCTGCAGTGACAATGCAACTGAAACACCAACTGTTTTTATGTGGGTCACAAAGTGTTTCTAATGGAAATAAAATCAGGTGAGAACTCTCATATAAGCCATCTTGAACTCTCAGTATAAAGATGAAACACAAATATGTAATAACAAACAGCAGGTATCATCTGGACTTAAGAGTACCTGGGAACACTTTAAACATTAAGCAGTATGTTCAACCTCATGCAACAGTTCATAGAAAGGTTATTATAGGAAACTAGTATTTTCATATTTTAGTTATTAACGACTCATCATCCTGTATCTTCAATGATTCTGAAGCTAGATTCATTTATCTTCTGTATTTATATAGCTGTCCCATATAAGACGGGTTCATAAGCAGGTGCAATTTTAACATGCAGTATAAAACAAGACAAGCCATTAAAGCTAAGAACAAAGTCGAGTTCTAAAAATATATCTGTTAAACTGTCACTGACCTCGGAAGAGTTTTTGGGCAATATGAAGTGGGTTTCCAAATCGGAAGTTCTCTCCATTAAATAGGGACAGGATAAGATTGTTCTGGTATTCGTGATTGTTTTCCGGGAAGCGGGGCAAAAACTTTTTTAAATGTTCTCGCTGTGAATCCACCAACACGTTCTGCCAGGTTGAAAGACTGACAACTTCAAAAAAGATCTCAGGCTGCACAAAATATAACAGATAGAATAAAATATCAGAAAAGATTTCTCATTTAAAAAAAATATATAAGCTGCTTATTCCCTTAGCAGCTCTGGACAGCTTGCAAAGATACAACAAAATGTTCATTAAAACAGGACAAATATAAACTAGAACAGGAGTGGTAGATGTACTGGTAAAATACATGGGAAAAATCTGTTTTAACTCATTCCTAAGCAGTAGTTAGGAGAGGCCTGCTTCAGTTACAGTTTGTTCCACTGGAGAAAACAGAATTGGTTCTTATTGTCCAACATATATGTGGCAAAACACACAAAGGAGGAGGGGGAGGAGGTAAGATAGGAGATTTGGTCATTAGGCTGGGCCTCTAATTTTGGCAGAAAAAAAGGTAGTACTGTATGCAAAATCCAGATTCAAACAATTTCCCCTTCTAAAACCAAGAAGATTTTCTAAAGAACCTTTGGAAGCAGTTATTCATTTGGTAAAAATAAAAGAAAAAGCTATCACATAATTTTTTTACTGATCAATTCAACAGCAGTGTATTTCCATTCTGGACGTTATGCACAGGTAACAGCTTTCCATTTCTACTCTACTTTTTTTAGAGGTACCAAAAGAGTCATTCAAACAGTCAAAGAATTATACTAAGGAAATACACACTTGGCCTCTTTTACTGAAGCAATTATTCTAAAGTCTGGTCCATTTCCTTGAATTTACAAGTGATTCTAAGAAAAATGAAACACAACTTAGACAAGAGGAAGAAAGTGATATTCATTCAATAAGTGATCCTGATCCAGTTACTGATACACAAAACTGTTTGAGTATTTCCTGACTAAATTACAGAATATGTCATGATTACTCTGATTTAATATTTCTGAAGATAACGATAATTGCTCAGTTCATATCTTTGTTTTATTACTTGGATGTCTACTCACATCTTCCAAAAGATCTTCAGGAAGGCTAATGCGTATGGATCCCAGCATGCAATCCTCCATAATTTGGGTGCCATTTCCTTCCCCAGTTGGCCCCAGTTCCAATGGATCAGTGAGCATATGATCCAGGGAGTCCATTATTCATACACCAGTGAACCACTTGAAAAAAAGAAACATTATAATTCAAAAGTTATTTTTGTAATTCAACCTACCAAAATAGGGGGGAAAAGATATAGTGTATTCCTTGCTGCAATGCATTATATCTGATGAATTCATTATCCATCTCCTATTGCAAAGTTTTTCCTTTTATTCTAAGCCCCCTGGAAAAAAGATCGTGTCACAGAAAATGCTATGCTGGCTCTTTATATGGGCCAGAGATAGAACAATTGTTTTCTTCTATCTTCCCAGCCAGACTAAAAAAAGTTCAGCTATTCCTCATGGATGGAATATCTTAAAAACTGGAATAATTCTTACTTCACTTGTCTGCCAAGCAAACAGGAACCCCAAATTAATAGCCAAGGAAAGGACAATCAAATTAACCTGAAGTACAAAATGTTTACCACTTCTTTCTGGACTTAAAGAATTGATCTTCTTCCTTTGCCTTTTCTTGATACTCCCCAATGTTTACAGATCTCTCTATCTCTTTTTAGATGAGATGACTTTCCAAATAAACAAAATAAAAATGTGTTAAATAAGAATGAAAAAGCAAACAATGAGAATGCCTTGAGGGTTTTCCAGTGTCTTTGTTTGCTTTACTCCATTGGTAGGGGAGACAAGCAAGAGAGAAAACAGCAAAATGCCAAGTATCCCACTGATCCACGATTATACGAACATAATTATTTAAATTGGAATACATCTTCAAAAGTTAATTTTATGCATGTGTCATATATTTAATATCATAACTGCAGTGCTTATTTTGAAACAAATATACAAATGACCGAAAACAGATTTCTTACCTTGGAATTTTTATTTGACGTACACTACAACCCACGAACATTAGTTAGACAGGGAAGAAAAAGGCTCATAGCTGCCATCTGAAATACATTGATGCTGGGGGGAAAATAAAATTTATTTATTTATTTTATTTATTTATTTATTTTATTTATTTAAATTTATATACCGCCCTATCTCCCTTACAGGACTCAGGGCAGTGAACATTAACATTAACATTCATTAGCAACGGTCTCCTCTAAAGCTTTTTCTTTTATTGCCTGAATCATGTCAATACAATTCTAGTTCAAATGAACATTTTATGTACTCTGATTAATGTCAATGTACTCTTTTGTCAAAACAAGAACTCACTTGATTCTGAAAAACAATAAGCTGTCTGTAACTTCACTCATATTGTAAAAGGAAGAGTTCCATCAATGACCATATATTTCAGTGGGGACAATTTTATGATAAGCCACCTTGGGTGAGGAAAAAACCCCACTAAAGCCTCAAAGAAAGAAAGATTATTCTTTGTATCTTTTTAAATATTTTTCTTCTTCTCTCCTCCTCCTCCTCCTTCTGATCTGTTTTTGCTCTTTCTCTAGTTTCTCCCTTTTCTTCCTCTTCTTCTTCCCTCCTTCTTCCCTTCTTTTTCTTCCCTCCTTCTCCTCCTCCTTCTTCCTGCTCTTGTTCTTCCTCTTCTTCCCTTTTTATCCTCCTCTTTTTCCGACCCACCAAAACTCAAGGCGAGGAGAAGGGGGGGGTCTTCGTGCAGGGACCACCCCCCAAAACAAATGACTTAAGTACAGTATTTTTCAACCACTGCTGAAGGAAACCTAGACACCCAGGGGACAATTAATGGTAATAATAATAATAATAATAATAATAATAATAATAATAATAATAATAATAATAATAATAATAATAATAATAACATGACTATCTCAAAGATGCTTTTTCACGAGGCCACTGGACTTTCTTGTTTTCCTCGTGAAAAAGCATCTTTGGGACAACTATGACCTAGGTGACTGAGAAGCTCCACAGATAACCTGAAGGAGAAATCTCAGCTGACAGTCAGGGGGGAACTTTTGCACGTGTGAAAGCGGGTGGGGGGGCGAGGATATCTTCGTCCCCCTTTCCACACAACTCACCCCACCCGGGTCAACCCCTCCCCAAATCCCACCTCTCCTCCCGCTACCCTGGTTACCTCAGCAGCCCTCCGGCGGCCGCGCGACCTTCCTCGGCCGCATTCCGCTTCCAGGTCGCCGCGGCAGAGACGGCGGCAGCGTCCACGCGCGGAACGGGGGAGGCGTGGACAGAGGGCGGGATGCGCATGCGCGCTCGAGGCCTTCCAGCCGGAGTCGCCTTCCCTGCTGCGGAAACGCCTCTCCTCCTCGGGAGAGGAGGACCGGAATGCGCGCATGCGCGACCTGCTGACTGCTCGGGCTGGCTTCCGCGCGCGCCCGTGTCTCCCCTGCGCAGGCGCGGGCGGGCGTGGCTTTCTCGCGCTGGGCTTTGCGGAGCTTTGCTGCAGAAAGAGACGCCCAGGCAGCTACGAGCTAATAAAGCGGGCTGACTTTGCACGATGCGTGTCTAAGGTCAATGCTCGTCCAAGACTTGCAGGTTGGGCAACGGTTGACTTGCCTTTAATAAAACTATAGTGTGACTCTGGATCAAGGGGAATTGTCTTGGGTGCAGGAGTTGTTCCTGCACCATTGAGAGACACTCTGCGAATTCATAAGAGACCTAACTAACATTTAGTGCAGGGGTCCCCAACCAGGGGTGCGAGATGATATTCCAGGGGGTGCGAAAACTTGGGTTTTCAAAATTATGGTGTATATGCGTAATTCGTTGCCGTTGTTTCAAACTTTTGTAAGGGGTGCGAGAATATATCAGAAGCGTTCTAGGGGTGCGGGGTATAGAAAGGTTGGGAACCACTGATTTAGTGGATGCGCTCGCCGATGCGATATTCCCAAGAAAGGTACATACACCTGGCTGCAAAGAGTAAAAGGGATATCGCCAACGGATTAGGAGAGCATGGCTATGCTTAGGAGGGTGCTGGCTTTTTCAGCCTGCAGAATGGAAACATATGTAAAGCAGGTTCGAAAAGTGAGCTCCCTCCTATACACAACCATTTGCTCTGAATCCATTGGCAGGTCCATTTTCCTCTCTGAATTCATGGGGACGCAACCGTAACCCTAAGTGGATTTTCCCCCAATGGGAATTTTCCATGTATTTTACCAGGAAACGCAGATAAGACAGGCTAGAAATCAGTGAGGAACAGCTACTTCTCCCACTCGATTTGTGGGCATGGAAAGCTGAGCGGAGGGAGACACAGAGGTTGGCAAGGTTGTTTGTGAGGAAGCCATCCCGACCCTCTTCATAAGCAACACCTGGGGAAGGGTGATTTAGCTGGACACTGGAGAAAGGTGGAGTTGTCGGGAACACCTGCTTGCTTTGGCGTGCACCTTCCCAGCTTCTGTGGACCTCAGGTGGTTCATCGCTGGAGGTTTTTAAGAAGAGACTAGACAGTCACTGGTCTGAAATGGTATAGGGTCTTCTACTTGAGCAGGGGGTTGGACTAGAAGACCTCCAAGGTCCCTTCCAGCTCTACTCTGATTGAACCTTTGACTTTGCTTGTGGACTTTGGAGTTGGCTTTCTGTCTTCAGAATTTTGGACGGTGGCTTGGTTTCTGGAACCCTGGACTTGGGTTGGGGGCATTGTGACTTCTCCCTTGTCTCATGGCCCAGCTTGGACCTAGTTTGTGGAACCAGGGGATTCGGACTTGAGGTGAACTGTGGGCAAGGAATTTGGGGTGTTGCTTAACTAGCACCATTGGTGGGTCATTTGGCGCTATGTTAGTGGCGCTATGCAATAAAAAAATCTTTACTTGACATCTGCCTTGGCATCATGACTCAGGTAACAACAACAATGTTGTCCGTGTTGCTTTGGTGTCAACTACAAGAGTTTTTACTTTCTGGAAATGCCAGAGGCAAGAGTTTTGGAAACAAATTCGGTGCATTTATTTTAAATGTGTTTTACTTATTATTGTTTAATTTGTACTAGTATCCACCTCTTGGTAAATAGGCAGTAAAGTCTGAACCCTTTAAGTTACTGAAACTTTCCCAGTTACTAATTACAAAGCATTCAAGTGATTTCAGTAATGCTAACTGTCTCTGTTTGTAGAGTGGATGAACTAATAATAATAAAAGCCCTTAGCTACAAAATAAGCCAGAATTATTGCCACTTTTAAGGAAGGTCTATTTTTTCCCTCCCTATTCCAGTTTCTGTTGCAGGATGATGTCTCACTTGACATTGTCAAGCACATTTTGGAGCAATCATTTTGACTAGGTATGTCTGCAGGGTGTCTATTCCTATTTAAATGAATTTCCTCCTTAGAATGATAAAGGTGCTCTGTGCCATACACCATTTATTGCACCACAAAGTTTGGTGAAAATACATTTACTGCTTGGAATAAATCTACTGTATTTCACAATAGCATCCAAGAAGAAATGCCAGGGGATTAATAAACATTTAGCATATATCCTTCGGTAAGAAAACTGAACTCTTGATCTCCTTAGCAAAGCAACAGGAAAAATTATTTTTTCCCCAGTTGGTTTTAAATAAATGCATGTTGTAGGTTTGAACAGGAACAGCACTCCAAAAAACTACCTCCAAGCACAAGCCACAATAAAATGAGTGTGAAGTTGCAGTCTTGTCTATCTGAATAATAAATCTTATTTACATAAATTATTGGTGGCTTTGTTATAGTCATATGTTGAGATAGCTTTTGTTGTTGTCTTATAAGAATAATTTACAATCAAGACCACTCATTTCCCTAATGCAAAAAGAGCACTCAGTTCATGAAACAGGCCATAGGAATTTTTTATCTGGCTTACAGCGAAGGAAGGAAGGAAGGAAGGAAGGAGGGAAGGAAGGAAGGAAGGAAGGAAGGAAGGAAGGAAGGAAGGAAGGAAGGAAGGAAGGAAAAGATCTGAAGCTGAAGCACAGCAACATTTCCACAAAGGAAAGGCCAGGGCTTATTTTCCAACACTATTTTCCAACTGAAGAGTCTCCTTGTGGTAGCAACGGAATTAGGACAAGCATAATAAGCAAGTTTTGGCTTGTTCTGCATTCACCTTCTCATTCCCATTGTTAACCAACACTCCGAAAGCCACCACACACATTAAACCATCTCTGAGCCTTTTTATTGGTTTTGAGGAGAAAACGAAGGATCCCTGTTTCATCAAGACAACACAATCAAAGGCATAAAGGCTCAGACTCTTGTGTTTTTATACTCCTCTGATTTGATTAGGCTTCTGGAGGCTCCAAGGTAGTTTCCTTCACACTCGTTCGGATTGAATGTTTGGGCAGTGCAGACGGTTATGTAAACACGGGGTATTCCAACAATACCAACAACCTAATTAATAATTTAACTGCTTCTGCACAGCTTCACAGTTTCACTGTCTTCTCTTGTCGAACAAATGTCAGGAAATAATGGCTTGTAATTGAGTCTTAGTTCCAGGCTATCTGTTTATTTTATTCTCCATTTCAAGCTGCATGTTCTCTTCTTTCACAGGCAAACTTGGGGGTGGGGAGAAATATAATAAAGCGGAAAGAAATGTAAGCAACTGAAATGTACATGAGATAGATTCTGCCAATGGTTGTGTGCTCGGCAAACTTTGCTTCCGCTGCTGAAAAACTGTCCACAGTTGGGGGGAGGAGAATCAATTGGGGAAGAGGTCCAGAAGAAGGTGGTATCCTGAAATATTTTGCTTGGGTTTCATTGAGATCTGAAGCTCTGCGAAGCCTCAGTGTATAAGGTAGAACTTCAAGGTGTACAAAATATACTTTGTCAAAGAGCTGTTGGGTGCCTTCAATATTCGGGATGAAGACTTCAAATGTCACTCATGCCCACTAGATGTCCTTCTTGGCTGCAAACCTACTTCACGGCTTTTCGATGTGCAAGTCGCCGACTCCGTTGGTGTTGCTGGTGGCCGTAATGATGTACTGTGTCGTTTGCTGCTCGCTGGCCGCTTGCGAGTCCAAAGAGTCAGAATGGGTGGCTGGCTGAGATAAATCTACTTCCACACTGCTAGAAAGAGACAGGCTTGGCTTGACTTCAAGCTCGGACTGACTTTCCGCGATCACATAATGTGTCTAGAGGGAAAGAAACCCAGAAAGAAACCCACATAAATTCACTCTTGTTATACACATGTTATTTCCTTTTTTAAAAAGCCTTCTTGTTAGTACAATACTTACAATCATTCATTTAGGGACTTTTCGGAGTTACAACAGAACTGGAAAAAGCGACTTACGACTGTTTTTCATACTTACGACCATTCCAGCATCCCCAGGATCACTTGAGCGAATCTCAGAGTCTTGGCAAGTGACTCATACTTATGACGGTGATGCAGTGCCCCGGGATCACGTGGTCCCCTTTTGTGACCTTCCGACAAGCCAAGTCAATAGGGAAGCCAGATTCGCTTAACAACAGTGTTACTAGCTTAATAACTGCAGTGATTCACTTAACAACTGTGGCAAGAAAGGTCATAAAATGGGGCAAAACTCACTTAATAATTGTCTCACTTAGCAACCAAATTTTGGGCTCAATTGCCGTCATACATAGAGGACTGCCTGTATGCCATAACAATGAATATGCTCATTTATCAACTATTACTCCAAATAATTCAGTAAAGCAGCTGCTTTGAAATAACTTCTTTGACTATCTCTGATGAAAACATGCATCATTTGGAGCAGAAGACATGTTGCTGATACTTTATTTGTTAATTTTATATGCCACCCTCTTCACTGTCAGCAACTCATATTAATAATCATACACGTATTTCAAAATATCCATATTCAAAAGCCTTGACATATTTAACCTTTTCAGTGAGGGTGGCTCTTTCCCTTCTTACCTGGGCAACTGTTTTGACTTGCCCTGTGCTCACCGTTGTGACAGGAGGGCCCACAGCTGTCTCTGCAATCACGTACTGGCCCTGAGGGATAGTCATCATCTGAATCTCGGAAGCTGGGGGGAAAAAAAGATGAGAGAATCCAGTTCATTATCTCTAACAAGACATGATTGACATACTAAAGCAGGGGCGTTCAAACTTGGCAACTTTGAAACCCATAGACTTCAACTCCCAGGATAGAGAGAGTTGAACAGGGTATCGCTTATCAAAGCCTTTATTAGCATAATTAAATGCGAAATTGCCCCATGAATCAGGTGAGTAAAAATGCAAGGGTTGAGTCCAAAGCTGGAAAAGGGAAATCTTGCATAAAGTATCAAGGGACTTGGGAGATTCTGTTTCCCTTCAGATAGCTTCAACAATACTGTATAACAATAGATATAAAATAATTAGGTGTACTGATGCTAAATTTTTGAGATGCTCGGCCGGCACCCTAGGTGCAGACGAGCTGTTATTGATATTAATGTATGCCTGTATTTGTTTATTTGAAAATTAATAAATATTTGTTTGGAAAAAAAAACAATACTGTTATCAAATCGTAGCTCAGAAATTGGGAATGAGGTGTAGTCCAGGGGTTCCCAACCCCCGGTCCGTGGACCAGTACCGGGCCACGGCATGCCAGCAACCGGTCCACACAAACAAGGAAAGCCCCATCCACAGGATACAGGCAGCACACAAAACCACACTCCCTCCGGTCCGTGGAAAAAACTCTCTCCATGGAACTGGTCCCTGGTGCCCAAAAGGTGGGGGACCTCTGGTGTAGGGGGGTTTTCCAGGGAAGCAAAACAGCGTCATGGAGCATATTTGGTACGTACGATAGGTGCGAAACGAGTTCCATGTGTTGGGAAGATAGGCTTGCTGGACTGAAGAACCCGGCTGCGACTGATTTTGGGAGGAGGGAGTTGTCTGTATCTGGGAAGGGCTGAGTTCCTGCTGAGTTGGCTGGGAAGAAGGACTCAAGGGCTGGCTGACCACCTGGAGAAACAAAGGAAAAGGCATTCCAGGAACTTCAGATCGAAAGTTACTTGTTATTGATCTAAAAGTGTCCTCTCTTACTCATACCCAGAGCTTTTAACCAATAAACTATAACGTCCTAATTCATTCATTTATAGCACTTCACTTCCTGCTCTTCTGTTGAAAAGAAAGATTGAAAAATAAAACTACAAAGCTCCAAGCAACCCTTTCATTTCTAATCAAAATAACTTCAAGTGACCAAAGCCTTCCAGCACACACAAATAGTTGGCTGGAATATGTCTAAATAAGCAATTTAGAATTTAGGCTCAAGGTTCTACATTTACTGAAATGTAGAAACAACATTCTATCATTGCACTGAGCCATGGTGGCGCCGTGGTTAGAATGCAGTATTGCAGGTTAATTCTGCCGACTGCCAGCAGTTCGATCCTGACCAGCTCAAGGTTGACTCAGTTTTCCATCCTTCCCAGGTTGGTAAAATGAGAGAGGGCTGTAAAGCACTAACTGTTATTGCTATTACTATTTACAAAATAAAACTTTGCGCGCAGAACTTTGGGCTATTCCACTGGTACCTTTAGGGACCATCTTATCTGCTGCCTCGAGCTGTCCATGCATCTTATAGTAGCATGCACATAATTTTACACAACTGCATGACTTACCTGTGAAGATGATGAGGCTGCAGAGGCTGGTTCAGTGACCTGGATATGCTGTACCTGGATAGCGTGCTGGGTGTATGACTGAGGGTCATGTAGCTGACCAACGTCTACTGTGGAATGCTGGGTCTGATGAGGTGAGGTAGCCTGGGGTTCAGGAGAAAAACGTTAACGTCCAAGTTGACTTTAGAATTGTGTTCTCGGTGGTACAAGTCTTACAAGTCAGCCAGTATAATTCTCTCTGAAAAATTCTGTTCTCTTGGGATGAATTGCCCAAAAGATCAAGAAGAATCAGTCTGGGGCAACACCTGCTTTCCAAGTAACCCACATGACAGAGACAAACCGTCACTCAATGGCAGGGGACAGTTTTACATTCTCAAAGGCTTGGCTTCAACTTGCCCCCCTCTTGCTAAGGAGATCTTAATTAACGGGACACCTTTTGTAATATGGATGGCCGCTTAGCAACTGACCTGTTATGTCGTTGGATTTAATCTAATCTTGCTCTGCCCCATCCAGATCCTGGTTCAATACTTTGATGGCCTCCCTTTGAGTAGCCCTTTAATGGCTACTCCTTTGTTATCTGGCTCAGTTTTACATAATCTCTGCTTTCCGAGATGCTCAGGGCCATTGCTAGACCTCTGCCTTCTAGGAAATCTATGCACAACTCAAACACAACTTACCTGAGCCACTTGCACAACCTGCAACTGTATGTGTTGTGGCTGTTGCAAGCCAGCTGTGGATTGTGATACAGGAATATACTGAATACGTGGGAAATCACCCTGTGGCGTTCGGTAGTCGGTGGTTAGAGTCTGTGATAGTTCTGTCATGGCTTGAGTCAGCAAATCTGATGTCTTTACAAGGAGGAAACAGGCAAAGGGAGATTATTATATAGTTTAAATTGTGGATATACTGTACGTCTTAGCATCTCTAGATTTGAAAAAAAAACCAAAACCTAAAAGCCATAAAATTTGGCCTTTTCTGGCTGTTTTACTCTATTGGATTTTCTGAATATCCTAGAAAAGAATGGTGTTGCCAGAGGGGGCTTCACGACAGTCGTCAATCCTGTCGTCCTCACCGTGATTAATGACGCCAACACTCGCCGTGTACATAACACAAACAACCCTAGACTCCTATAAGGCCCACGAAGAACGCTTATACAACGTGGTAGAACCAGACACGTCTTCCTCTTTCTTCCTTACAATCTTTCTACTTTTCTTCCACACAAGGCATGACTAGATGATAGTCCTGCTCTGGGATAGCCCCATCTCTTGAAATATATTTTTCCCAGTGGTCCTCTTGACTTTTGCAAGCAGGTGAAAAATTGTAATATCTCACTAAGACTTTGGACCTAGATGAAATGTTTTAGGACTGTCTTTCTTGATTCTATCAACTGTTTTATTGTCTGTCTTTGTTTTTCCTGTGTTTTGCTGTTTGCTGCCATGAGAAGGAACCTGGGTAACCATTTCTCTACTATGGTCAAGAGAGGTGCATGGACATGGTTTGGGTGCTAAATAATGGGAACCCTGTCAAAAGACGCTCCTTTAATTACTAGAAAAAATTGTATAACTTTAACGAGTAGCTGTGGAAGCAATTCTATGGAAAGTCCAAGCTCACAAGGAACTCTAACTCTTGATGATACTAACGTTGAAAGGTGTATTGCAATACAGCTTGAATATGGAATGTGAGAAGTATAAACCATGGAAGACCGAGTAGAAATAAAGCACATGATCTTTTAAGATGAAGTGAACTTAGAGGGACCAGAATAGGCCACTTTAAACAAGTTTGTTGAACTTGCAAAAAAAAAAAAAAAACAGACTATACAATGGAGGGAAATGACAGCAGTGCTTCAAAAAGGACATTGCTTAGTATATGCTCAGCTGTAGTCTTATTAAAAAAAAACAAACCAGATCCATCGAGGGGACTTCCAGCGAATACCCATATTATATAAGCATATGCAATTTCTACAGAAATAAAAAAAATAGCTAGGGTGAAATAGGTACATGAAAATAGGGAGTCAAGCTATTCTCAAAAGCACCTGAAGGCAGGCCAAGAAGCAACGGATAGAAACTAACCAAGGAGAGAAGCAACCTAGAACTAAGGAGAAACTTCCTGACAGTGAGAACGATCAACCAGTGGAACAACCTGCCTCCAGAAGCGGTGAATGCTCCAACACTGGAAGGTTTTAAGAAGAGACTGAACAGCCACTTGTTTAAAATGGTATAGGGTTTCCTGCCTGAGCAGGGGGTTGGACTAGATGACCTCCAAGGTCCCTTCCAACATCATCATCATCATCATATTATTATTATTATCATTATTAAATATCTGGGTATTAGGCATATATCCGCAGTACCTTACTGCTATACTGTTTGGAACAATGAGGACAACAAACAGGCGGTGTGGCGATTGTTCCAGTCAGTTGGGTGTGCGTACTCAGCATTGGATCTGGTTCTCCTGGGCCTGCTGGACGCAACTTTCGGATACTGGGAGGAAGTTCTGCACCTGGGTGGTTTTTCAAAATGTGGGCTTTCCGCTTGCTGGCACTCTTATAAACCTAGAAGAGAAAGATGAATGAATGACCCCAGGCAGTGCCTTTGAAAGAGTCCGGTATTAGCCACTCAGCCAACTGCATGGAGAGGCTTGGATAACAATTTCTGCTTCCACCAACTCAGAAACAGATTTGTGCTTTGCTTGTTCCTGTGTTTACACAGATAGATGCCTTAGGAAGTTACGAAGCAGTGAGAAAATAATGAGGTTTGGAGCTGTATTTCTTGTAATAGCACAAGGCCTCACATCTGTTCTCTGCCTGAATTAATACAGAGGTGAGATCAGGCTAGTTCTGGTTTGCTTCCGTGGCTGTGCCACAACTTTCTTTGTGAAAGAGGCCACTTATAGAGTTCCAGCATCCTTCTTTTTCTCTTGTCACAACAAACAAGGATAGTTCGAAGGATGTTAACTGTCTCAGAAGAAATATCAACCAATTACAACCTCTGGGGAAGGCAGCTGCCTTTTTATTACACCCCCTTTAGATACAAGTGGGTGCGTCTGGGCAGCATCTGGGCCAGGGAGAAGGAAAGTTGGAAAGCCACAATCAAACTCCATGTAAGAATAAGAAGAAAACAGTTATTGATAGAATATGCAACCAAAAAAACCACTCCCTCCTAGCACTGATGATGTTCCATAGTTGGATAATGAAAAGACTGCAAGAAAACAACAAAGCTCAGAGATCGCTAAGGACCCCACAATATTTAATCCACTTATTTATATTCTAGTCTAGAAATGGAAAGGAAGGAAAAAACTTATTAACCTATGTAAACTTTGGGAAATATACTCTTGCAATAGTTTATTTAGGGGCCTGCTGGATTAGAGTGCTTCCTGTGACAATAGGGATCTTATTTCACTTTTTTATGATAGTTAGATCGCAGGGGGACAGAGGTCGACTCCTAGGCCCCTAACTTGTGGGGTGCCTCAGGGGTCAGTCCTCTCCCCCCTATTGTTCAATATTTATGTAAAGCCGCTGGGGGAGATCATTCGTGGCTTTGGGGTGGACTTCCATCAGTACGCTGACGATACGCAGCTGTACATTTCCACCCCGGGCCACCCCAACGATGCCCTTGACG